TTAAAAGCAAAACCAAAAAGTACCTAACTTCATCTATTTAGTTTCCTACACTGAGCTTTAAATTTGCTCTGTACCTAGTGTTACCCAATCTCCTAATTTTTATGTAATATCAAACAACCTTATCATTGTGTTCATTGCTGTCTTCTTTTATGTGCTAGCCATATGCTGTATGGTGACTACCAATTTTTTGTCAACTACCATTCAAGCTGTCATTGCAATCAATCATAGCTACCTATGTGCTTTAATATACTGTACCTATAATTTTCTCTCATCTTTTTTTTTCATTCCATGTAATCTGTTATCATTTTTTGTCTATAAATTTTGCAAGTATTTACCTCCTTAAAATTTTCTTAGATTAAGGACCTGCCTGAAACGCTGCGCGTGCTAGTGGCTTTACAAGAGTGTAATTACCATATTTGTATCCTCACATTCCTTATGTACATTCTTGTATATGCATAAATAAATAAATAAATAAATAAGTATACGATACTATCTTCATTTTTTTTTTTTTTTTTTTTTTTTTTTTTTTTTTTTTTTTTTTTTTTGAGATATATACAAGAGTTGTTACATTCTTGTACAGCCACTAGTACGCGTAGCAAGTCCTTAATCCTATGGTCCCTGGAATACGATCCCCTGCCGCGAAGAATCGTTTTTTCATCCAAGTACACATTTTACTGTTGCGTTAAACAGAGGCTACAGTTAAGGAATTGCGCCCAATAAATCCTCCCCGGCCAGGATACGAACCCATGACATAGCGCTCGCGGAACGCCAGGCGAGTGTCTTACAACTACACCACGGAGACTGTAAATCTACTCAGACCCCAACTCTCACACACTAAATAATATTGTAAATAACGAATTAAAAAAGTTCATTCATGGATGTTAACTAACAAACTCACACTAAACATAAAAAAGACCTTCTACATATTATTTGGAAGAAAATCAACAAATTCAATTCAGCCTCAGATAGACAGCACTTGGTGGTGAGCTTGGGCATAAATATTTCATCGAATCACCTCACTTTGTGGGGCCACGTGAGCAACACAAATGCGAACAAGCTTGAATTGTCCCCAAGCATATATGCAACTGAAAACTTCACACCCCAGAAGGATTCGAACCCAGACAGCCAGGAGCACTATGCACATGGCGTACCTGGTTCCTTACCCACTCGACCACCGTGACTGTTCAAAAGCTTATGCCCAAGCTTACCATGTGCTGTCGGGATGTTGGGAAAATAGCCTCGGCTACTAATGTCTTTTGAACAGTCACGGTAGTCAAGTGGTTAAGGAACCAGGTATGCCATGTGCATACCTGAACGGTCTCCAGGCATATATGCAACTGAAAACTCACATCCCAAAAGTGACTCGAACCCATACTGCCAGAAGCAATGCAACTGATGTACAGGATCCCTTAACCACTCGACCAACACGACTGGACAAAAGAGGATGGTAGCCGAGGCTAATTCCCCATCCCCCCGCCGGCACTCTGTTGGTAATCTTAAGCATGGTATTTTATTAAATCACCTCATTCTTTGGTGCACACGTGAGGAACACAAATGCAAACAAGCCTGAACGGTCTCCAGGCATATATGCAACTGAAAACTCACACCCCAGAAGTGTGAGTTTTTTGGGGTGTGAGTTTTCAGTTGCATATTTATTTATATATATATACAAGAAGGTACATTGGGATTGTGAGGATACATAGCATAGTAATTACATTCTTGTACAGCCACTAGTAAGTGCAGCGTTTCGGGCAGGTCCTTAATCTAAGAAAATATTAAGTAGGTAAATACTTGCAAAATTTATAAAAATGATAAGTTACATAGCAAGAAAAAAAATAAAAGATGAGAGAAAAATTGTAGGTATATTAAAGCACATAGGTAGCTCAGATTGATTGCAATGACAACTTGAATGGTAGTTTAACAAAACTTAGCAGGCACAATACAGCATATATGGCTAGCACATAAAAGAAGACAGCAATGAACACAATGATAAAGTTGTTTGGGTTAAGTACATAAAGGTTGGGAGATTGGGTAACACTAGATAGAGAGCAAATTTAAAGCTCAATGTAGGAAACTACGAAGATGAAATTAGGTACCTTTTGGTTTTGTTTTTAAATGAGGCAAAAGTTTGACAGCTTTTCAATTCACTATGGAGTGAGTTCCATAGACTATAGGTCCCTTAATTTGCATAGAGTGTTTACACAGATTAAGTTTGACCCTGGGGATATCAAAGAGATATTTATTTCTGGTGTGGTGATAATGGGTCCTATTACACCTGTCCAGGGAGAGTTTCAGAGCAGGATTTGCATTTAAGAACAGGGTTTTGTAAATGTAGTTGACACAAGAGAATGTGTGGAGGGAGTTAATATTTAGCAAGTTTAGGGATTTAAACAAGGGAGCTGAGTGTTGTCTGAAAGCAGAGTTTGTTATTATTCTGATAGCAGATTTTTGCTGGGTGATGATGGGCTTAAGGTGGTTTGCAGTGGTAGACCCCCATGCACAGATACCATAATTAAGATAGGGATAAATTAGTACATAATATAGTGAGAGGAGCGCAGAGTTCATGGGTTCATGAGTCATGGGTTCGTATCCTGGCCGGGGAGGATTTACTGGGCGGAAATCCTTAACTGTAGCCTCTGTTTAACGCAACAGTAAAATGTGTACTTGGATGAAAAAACGATTCTTCGCGGCAGGGGATCGTATTCCAGGGACCTGCCCGAAACGCTACGCGTACTAGTGGCTGTACAAGAATGTAACAACTCTTGTATATATCTCAAAAAAAAAAAAAAAAAATTAGGAAAATAATATTTTATTTATGCCTGCCTGGAGACCGTTAATACTTGTTCGCATTTGTGTTCCATGAACCCATGAACTCTGCGCTCCTCTCACTATATATATATATATATATATATATATATATATATATATATATATATATATATATATATATATATATATATATATATATATATATATATATATATATATATATATATATATATATATATATATATATATATATATATATATATATATATATATATTTTCATTGAATATGACCGCATATTCTGTATTTATTATTTTCTGGTTTAGGGCTTTTATCCCGCTAACTATTTTCTTAGCATCAGGGCTTAGTTGAAATAGGAGTTCTCCAAAACTCATTTTCGTACTTTTAAGGTGAAGAAAAGAAGTGATTTACTATAGAATGTATTACACTTATTTATACAATTTGCACAACGTTTCGAACCTCCATGGTTCATTCTCAAGTGAATAGATCTTACAATGCTGGTTGATTTTATACCCGCGGGTATAGCAGGTATAAAATCAACCAGCATTGTAAAATCTATTCACTTGAGAATGAACCATGGAGGTTCGAAACGTTGTGCAAATTGTATAAATAAGTGTAATACATTCTATAGTAAATCACTTCTTTTCTTCACCTTAAAAGTACGAAAATGAGTTTTGGAGAACTCCTATTTCAACTAAGCCCTGATGCTAAGAAAATAGTTAGCGGGATAAAAGCCCTAAACCAGAAAATAATAAATACAGAATATGCGGTCATATTCAATGAAACATGTTTGAAAGAAAACCTGCTGCCAGTATACACCAATATATATATATATATATATATATATATATATATATATATATATATATATATATATATATATATATATATATATATATATATATATATATATATATATGTATATATATATATATATATGTTATATATATATATATATATGTTATATATATATATATATATATATGTTTTTATATATATATATATATATATATATATATATATATATATATATATATATATATATATGTCGTACCTAATAGCCAGAACGCACTTCTCAGCCTACTATTCAAGGCCCGATTTGCCTAATAAGGCAAGTTTTCATGAATTAATATTTTTTCGTCTACCTAACCTACCTAACCTAACCTAACCTAGCTTTTTTTGGCTACCTAACCTAACCTTACCTATAAATATAGGTTAGGTTAGGTTAGGTAGGGTTGGTTAGGTTCGGTCATATATCTACGTTAATTTTAACTCCAATAAAAAAAAATTGACCTCATACATAGAGAAAAGGGTTGCTTTATCATTTCATAAGAAAAAAATTATAGTAAATATATTAATTCAGGAAAACTTGGCTTATTAGGCAAATCGGGCCTTGAATAGTAGGCTGAGAAGTGAGTTCTGGCTACTAGGTACGACATATATATATATATATATATATATATATATATATATATGTCGTACCTAGTAGCCAGAACGCACTTCTCAGCCTACTATGCAAGGCCCGATTTGCCTACTAAGCCAAGTTTTCATGAATTACTTGTTTTTCGAGTACCTAACCTACCTAACTTAACCTAACCTAACTTTTTCGGCTACCTAACCTAACCTAACCTATAAAGATAGGTTAGGTTAGGTTAGGTAGGGTTGGTTAGGTTCGGTCATATATCTACTTAATATTAACTCCAATAAAAAAAAATGACCTCATACATAATGAAATGGGTAGCTTTATCATTTCATAAGAAAAAAATTTGAGGAAATATATTAATTCAGGAAAACTTGGCTTATTAGGCAAATTGGGCCTTGCATAGTAGTCTAAAAAGTGCGTTCTGGCTACTAGGTACGACATATATATATATATATATATATATATATATATATATATATATATATATATATATATATATATATATATATATATATATATATATATATATATATATATATATATAATTCAGGCAATAATTTCAGGTTTGTGACCTTTGCCAGACTGTACCTAATAGTGAATAGATCATCAATACACACGAAAATTGTTACAAAACCCTTCTACCTTGTAAATACAAAAATATAAATAAATAAAACGCTAACATCATCGAGCTGAAAGCGCTGGTTAAATAATAAGCCATGAGTGTTTCAGATAAGTAAGTGATAATGTGTGTTACCTCTGTTATCAGAACATATAAGTGGCGTAGCATGCCAGGCCCTCGGCCAGTGAACGACGGTCTAGCAGAGGTCCCCCAGCCAGTGTGAACGACGGTCTAGCAGAGGTCCCCGGCCAGTGTGAACGACGGTCTAGCAGAGGTCCCCGGCCAGTGTGAACAACGGTCTAGCAGAGGTCCCCGGCCAGTGTGAACGACGATCTAGCAGAGGTCCCCAGCCAGTGTGAACGACGGTCTAGCAGAGGTCCCCGGCCAGTGTGAACGACGGTCTAGCAGAGGTCTGGCATCGCCTACCTGTGTCTACACATACTCAAGTGAGTCTTAGTTTTCATTCCTCAATGGAACTTCCTTTGGTAATATTGAGAAACAAATCAACGCAGTCGACAAGCTACTCTTCAAATATTTTAGTAAAACGCTTTGTTTGCTAAATAGGCTACCTAGTCTAATCAAAGCAATTAAAAATAAATAATCTTTAACTTATGTTTATATTGTCTTATAGCTACTGATCGTAATTAAGCTCTCTCTTGTAATTTGTTTTTGGTTAAAGCTGCACTGTGAATATTTAGTATTAAGAGCTATAGATATTCCAAATGGCTAATAAAACTTTATAATTATCTGGTAAGGGCTGTAAACAACTATATATATATATATATATATATATATATATATATATATATATATATATATATATATATATATATATATATATATATATATATATATATATATGCGAACAAGCCTGAATGGTCCCCAGGACAATATGCAACTGAAAACTCACACCCCAGAAGTGACTCGAACCCATACTCCCAGGAGCAACGCAACTGGTATGTACAAGACGCCTTAATCCACTTGACTATCACGACCGGACATAATGAGGTGATAGCCGAGGCTATTTGAACCACCCCACCGCCGGCACTCGGATAGTAATCTTGGGCATAGCATTTTACCAAATCACCTCATTCTTTGGGGCACACGTGAGGAACACAAATGCGAACAAGCCTGAATGGTCCCCAGGACAATATGCAACTGAAAACTCACACCTCAGAAGTGACTCGAACCCATACTCCCAGGAGCAACGCAACTGGTATGTACGAGACGCCTTAATCCACTTGACCATCACGACCGGACATAATGAGTTCGAGTCGAGAACCTAGTATGGGTTCGAGTCACTTCTGGGGTGTGAGTTTTCAGTTGCATATTGTCCTGGGGACCATTCAGGCTTGTTCGCATTTGTGTTCCTCACGTGTGCCCCAAAGAATGAGGTGATTTGGTAAAATGCTATGCCCAAGATTACTATCCGAGTGCCGGCGGTGGGGTGGTTCAAATAGCCTCGGCTATCACCTCATTATGTTCGGTCGTGATGGTCAAGTGGATTAAGGCGTCTTGTACATACCAGTTGCGTTGCTCCTGGGAGTATGGGTTCGAGTCACTTCTGGGGTGTGAGTTTTCAGTTGCATATATATATATATATATATATAAGCAGGGTCAAAGAGCTAGAGCTCGATCCTGTAGGCACAAATAGGTGAGTAATTGTAGACTACTAAGAAAGCTTTTATTTATAAATTGTTGTTGATAAGATTGCCTGTGCATTTGAAGATTTTTAGCTAGGTATGAAAGTTGTAAGCGACCATGGAAGTTGTAATTGGTTTAGATTGTTACAAAGCAATGTGAAGAATGTTAATTAAAATGAATGTTGTAAATGGCTATGCAGAGTTGCAAATAATTAAGAAAGTTTTAAATAGACAAGGAAAGCTACGCGGATCTTGAAATGGTCATGTATTGTTATATGCTAAAAGGCTAGACGCTTCTTAAAATATTTTTTTTAGTTTTTAAGTTTTTTAAGTCTTAGTTTTTAAAATTTTTCTCATATCTTGCCCGAAACGCTTTGCTTATGGATAGGCTTTGTAACCTATGTCCAGCGGGTATAGGGGCTGCCCAAAACTCTGTGCGTAGGCTTTATTTATTTATTTATTTATTTATTTATTTATTTATATATATACAAGAAGATACATTGGGATTGTGAGGATACATAGCATAGTAATTACATTCTTGTACAGCCACTAGTACGCGCAGCGTTTCGGGCAGGTCCTTAATCTAAGAAACTTATAAGTAGGTAAATACTTGCAAAATTTATAAAAATGATAACATAGCATGAAAAAAATAAAAGATGAGAGAAAAATTGTAGGTATATTAAAGCACATAGGTAGCTCAGATTGATTGCAATGACAACTTGAATGGTAGTTTAACAAAACTTAGCAGGCACAATACAGCATATATGGCTAGCACATAAAAGAAGACAGCAATGAACACAATGATAAAGTTGTTTGGATTAAGTACATAAAAATTGGGAGATTGGGTAACACTAGATACAGAGCAAATTTAAATCTCAGTGTAGGAAACTACGAAGATGAAATTAGGTACTTTTTGTTTTTGTTTTTAAATGAGGCAAAAGTTTGACAGCTTTTCAATTCACTATGGAGTGAGTTCCATAGACTATAGGTCCCTTAATTTGCATAGTGTTTACACAGATTAAGTTTGACCCTGGAGATATCAAAGAGATATTTATTTCTGGTGTGGTGATAATGGGTCCTATTACATCTGTCCAGGGAGAGTTTTAGAGCATGGTTTGCATTTAAGAACAGGGTTTTGTAAATGTAGTCGACACAAGAGAATGTGTGGAGGGAGTTAATATTTAGCAAGTTAAGAGATTTAAACAAGGGGGCTGAGTGTTGTCTGAAAGCAGAGTTTGATATTATTCTGATAGCAGATTTTTCCTGCATGATGATGGGCTTAAGGTGGTTTGCAGTGGTAGACCCCCATGCACAGATACCATAATTAAGATAGGGATAGATTAGTACATAATATAGTGAGAGGAGAGCAGAGTTAGGAACATAATATCTGATTTTGGAGAGTATACCAACTGTTTTAGAGACTTTCTTAGTTATGTGTTGAATGTGGGTGCTGAAGTTGAATCTCTTGTCAAGGAATAGGCCAAGAAACTTTCCATCATTTTTATTACTGATGTTAATGTTGTCTATCTGTAGCTGAATTACATTCGATGATTTGCTTCCAAATAAGATGTAGTAGGTCTTTTCTATGTTTAGTGTTGGTTGACATCCATATAAGTGGACTTTTTTTAATTTTTTGCCCGAAACGCATTGCGTAATAGTGGCTTTAGGCATTGTATGTACTAGCTCTATCTTTATATCAATCCATTAATGTAACATCACTTGTATGTATATACCTTACCTGAATAAACTTATTTATTTATTTATTTATTTAATTCATTATTCACAACATTATTTAGTGTATGTGGGTTGGGGTCTGAATAGATGAGGGTAGTATCATCAGCAAACAATATAGGTTTAAGAATATTAGAGACATTAGGCAGATCATTGATATATATAGAATAAATAGAAGAGGTCCCAAGATGCTGCCCTGTGGCACTCGAACGGTTATTGGTAGAGTGGAAGAGGTTGTATCATTGATGGTTACACATTGGTGTCTGTCACTAAGATAGGATCGGATGTAGTCAAGGGCAAGGCCTCGGATTCCATAATGCTGGAGTTTAAGTAAGAGGTAGTTGTAGGTAGGCTTTATATGTATAGTATATACTAGCTCTGTCTAGAAATCCAACATTCTGCTTGTAACTCATTTTGTGTGTATGTACTTTTACCTAAATCAAGAATTATTATTATTATTATTATTATTATTATTATTTTAAATGAAATGAAATTAAATGTTTTATTCAGGTAAGGTACATACTTACACGAGATTTTACATAAATTGATAGATTTATAGATAGAGCTAGTACATACAATGCCTAAAGCCACTATTACGCAAAGCGTTTCAGGCAATAAAAACTTTAATGACTAATACTTAATACTAAATGAGTATAAAGAATAAAATGTGTTGAGAACAAATAAAAATAAAGATAAAAAGGGGGAAACATGGCTGAAAAAGCAGCACAAATACAAATAGGTCGACAAACAGCGTTGTTTAAGAAAACAGACATGGGTTGACAATAGAGGGGTAAGCTAGGTAGGTTACAGGAAATTTATTAGGTAGTGCTTCGTTTTTAACTTAAACTGGTTGAGAGAGGTACAGTCTTTAACATGGTCGGGATGGTCATTCCACATTCTGGGTCCCTTGATTTGTAGAGCATTTTCTGATCTAGGAGGAATAAGACATAACAGCACGGGGACCTATTTATTTAATTAATAGTAGAACAAGTAAATAATTTTTTGCAGACCATGTTAATGAAGCATCTAACTTGTATAATTTACAACAGCATAAAATATACATGTATAACTTGACTACACTACCACAACTTAATAACATTAATACATATGCTTATAGCCAAATCATAACATAGAACTCAGGCAAATCATAACATAGAACGAAAAGGCAATGTAAAGGATCTGGGTGTACTCATGTCGGAAGACCTGACCTTTAAAGAACACAATAAAGTAGCCGTCACAACTGCAAGAAAAATGACAGGTTGGATAACAAGAACTTTTCATACTAGAGATGCTATACCGATGATGATACTTTTCAAAACGCTTGTGCTCTCTAGAGTGGAGTACTGCTGCACAATGACAGCACCTTTCAAAGCTGGAGAAATTACTGAACTGGAGAGCGTGCAGAGATCCTTTACTGCTAGAATCCACTCAGTAAAACATCTAAACTATTGGGACCGACTAAAGAGCCGAAAACTGTACTCCCTTGAGCGCAGGCGGGAGAGGTACATAATAATTTACACGTGGAAAATATTCGAGGGGCTGGTCCCAAACCTGCACACAGAAATAACATCATATGAGACCAGAAGACATGGCAGGATGTGCAGAATACCCCCGTTGAAAAACAGAGGTGCAACTAGTACTCTGAGAGAGAACTCTATCAACATCAGAGGTCCGAGACTGTTCAACACGCTTCCACTACACATAAGGGACATAACTGGCCGACCCCTCACAGTGTTCAAGAGAGAACTATCAACATCAGAGGCCCGAGACTGTTCAACACGCTTCCACTACACATAAGGGGCATAACTGGCCGACCCCTCACAGTGTTCAAGAGAGAACTATCAACATCAGAGGCCCGAGACTGTTCAACACGCTTCCACTACACATAAGGGGCATAACTGGCCGACCCCTCACAGTGTTCAGGAGAGAACTGGATAAGCACCTCCAAAGGATACCTGATCAACCAGGCTGTGACTCGTACGTCAGGCTGCGAGCAGGCGCGTCCAACAGCCTGGTTGATCAGTCCGGCAACCAGGAGGCCTGGTCGACGACCGGGCCGCGGGGACGCTAAG